AAATCTATGTTGCATGCTTATCAAAATCAGGAAAGCAATAGTGATGTCTATTTTATGTTAAATATGATATAAAAACGAGGAGAGCACCTATGCTATAGACGTCAGAATTTGTTTTCTTAAGAGGGAAGAACCATACTTTACAGCTCCCCTACAGCTTAAAGCCATGTACAGGGAGACTCCATTTTGTATGACAGTATAAAATCATGATCACATGATTACGCTACATGCAATAAAATGCAACTGCAAGAGGAAACAGACGGGAAGCCTGTCCAACATTCTGCGGCTCTTGGAAGTTTCTTAAACCTAGGTGACCTCTGTTTGCAGAGCAGGTTTGCCTACCATCAGGTGGGACCTGGAGATCTCCCAGAACTACAAGTGATCTCCAGATTATAGAAGACAGTGGCCCTGGAGGAAAGGGTGGGACATGGTAGAAATTTCAGGGCAAAGGGAGGTGGGACCTAGGGAGGGGGTGGGGCACCTGTCACTTTTTGTGATGTGGGAGGTATGTCCCTTATGGAATTAATCGATGTATTGCTTGTGTTGCCCAAAAGAGCTGGGGATCATTTGAAGCCAGCACCATTTGAAGCAGATCTGCACACAATCCAGACATGAACAGGACTCACCATCATGTCTTGAGGGATTTTTTCATTTTTTTAAAAAAACTGTTACATCCTGCCTGATGAAGAGATTTGGTGAGCTCAAAAGGCTGCACACTTATTGTGTGCCATTTGGTTGGTCACAGTAAAAGGAATTAAGTGAACTGCATTCTGGTTTGGGTTTTTAAAAAAAGATTTTATGGCTGCTAACAACTTTCAGATCCCAGGCCTACATTCTTTGTGAACTACCAATCCAAACATAACCAGTCCCACAGCTGCAGGATGCCACTGTGGACTCAATAAATCTCCTGGATTTGTTGTGCATAAGGGTTTCTGAAACATCTCCCATGGCTTGTGAACTGTGTGATTTGGCATGCATGGTGAGATGGGAGCTCAATGTCAGTTTGGTGTGGTGGTTAAGTGCGTGGACTCTGATCTGGGAGAACCGGGTTTGATTCCCCACTCCTCCACTTGCACCTGGCTGGATGACCTTGGGCAAGCCATAGTTCTGACAAGAGCTGTCCTTGAAAAAGAGCAGTTTCTGTCAAGAGCTCTCTCAGCCCCACCTACCTCACAGGGTGTCTGTTGTGGCGAAGGAAAGGGAAAGGAGTTTGTAAGCCACTCTGAGACTCCTTTGGGTAGTGTTCTTCTTCTCTGTTGGGCCCTGGGGGTTCTATTGTCCTGAGTCTTGCGGTGACTTGAGATTCAGCAGTCTCCCATTCTGGTCTGTTTTTTGGGATTCCTTTGGAATAAAACAGCTACTTTGAGGTCCCCCACTGAGTGCCCTGAGAGGCTGAAATGGTCTCCTACAGATTTCTCAGTTTTGTGATTCTTGATGTCCAATTTCCATCCATTTATCCTTTGGCATAGGGTTTGACCTGTTTGCCCTATGTCAAGAACTGAAGGGCATTGCTGGCATTTAAAGACATATACAATGTTAGAAGATGAGCAAGTGAATAAGCCTGAGATGGTGTAGTTGATGTTGTTAGGTCCAATGACTGCGTTGTCTATTTTATTGCAAAGGAATTTCACAGGTAGACTTGAATGGGAGATTGCTGAGTTGCAGGTTGTTGTGGCACTCAGGAGAGTGGAACCCCCTGAGGCTTGGCAGGGGTGTCAGGTTCTTGTCTCCCTGTCCGTGTTGTGTCACTTGGTTCTCACTTTTGCACAGGGTTAGACTTTGTTGGTCTTGGAGGTGCCGCTGGACTCAAACTTGGTTTTCACATCTGTTGTTAACTTCTCAATTTGTTGCTATCCACAGGTCCTCCAAATGCGTTATTCCAATCTTAGCTGTATTTATTGCTCAGACGCTGAACTGCAGACCGGAAGGTCGGTAGTTCAGCAGTTCGAGACCCAAGTGCCACATGACGGAGTGAGCTCCCGTCTCTGGTCCCAGTTCTTGCCAACCTAGCAGTTTGAAAGCAAGAAATTGCAAGTAGATAAATAGGTACCACTCCAGTGGGAAGGTAACAGCGTTCCGTGCGCCTTGGTGTCTAGTCATGCTGGGCACATGACCACGGAAATGCCTTCGGACAGCGCTGGCTCTTCGGCTTGGAAACAGAAATGAGAACCACCTAGAGTCAGATTCAACTAGCATTCGAGCAAGGGAAACCTTTACTACTTATGCTAACTTGTTTATTATCTGTATGCCAATTTGCTACTACGCACAAGTCTTACCAGAGCTGGTTGTTGTAAACAAACTGGGGGCAGGTACTTATGCATCTTGACTCTCATTAGCCCTTCCTGGCAACTACCACCTCTCTTTCTACCTATATGTAACATTTGAGGAAATTTGTTCCAATGTATCTGAAGGAGTGTGCATCTACACATGCTAAGTCTCTCAGTTCTCACTTATACCCAGAATTGAACTTTGTTGGTCTTGGAGGTGCTACTGGAATCAAACTCAGTTCTCACATCTATTTGTTATCTCTTGTATTTATATGCTAATTTACTGTTATTCCCAGATCTTACCAATTGCCTTAATCCAATCTCAGCTATAATTGCCCAGTTATTTATGCATATTGATTCTAACTAGCCTTTCCCGGAAACTAACACCCACCCCACCCTCTACCGATATGGAATGGTTGAGAAAGTTCTGTTTCACTGTATCTGAAGAAGTATGCATGCAAATGAAAGCTTATATTGTGAATAAAACTTTGTTGGACTCAAACTTTGTTCTGTGTTTACTCTGGCAGGTCATCAATCATTTAGGCCTGTCTTAACTGATAAGTTTTGATTGGAGAGAGGGGAATCTCTGTTTTCTGCCCAAGCAGTATCAGTGTTGAATGCTCTGATGCAGAAAAACTCCTGCATTGTGCAGATACACCACTTAAAGAGCTTTTAGGGAGGAATGGCAGTAGATCCCATGTTCCCAGCATAGGAGATAACCTATCATTTTGAAAAATAAAGATTTCCGTTGAGGAAATAGGAACACTATTAGCCGACAAGTTATTCATGATGTAACCAATCTACAATAGCATCTTTAGCAACTGTCTCATTTCTCCTGTTTTATCCAATTTCCAAATGATTAAAGACTATATTTTTAATTGAAATTAATGTCCAGTGAAGCAATTTGGGGTTTACTTGTGAGTAAACATGCATACGGCCTTGTTATCCACGGTGCACTGCCTAAGATCCCGCCAAACATGTGGTGGGATTTTATCTATTCTGTTTCTCCTTCGACTCCACATTCTCATTCTTCAAATATAGTGTTAATGGGTACTGTTACCTGGAAAAGGAAATCAGTTTTTGGCTCTGCTTTCTATTCTGGTATCTCCTAGGTTCAATCCCTGCAACTGTTAGGATTTCTGTTTGAGACACTATAGTATTGCCACCAGTCAAATCTCTGAATGCCAGTCATGGTAAATTATACAGAATTAGATTAATCAGTGGTCTAACAAGGTATATGAGAACTTAATTTGAAATGATTATCAGAAATTAACAGGGTTCAATAGTTCCTGGGAATTATATAAAGCGGCCTGCAGGTACATACTCAGCACATTTTGGGATGTATACCTAAAGTGTTTTACACATACAAAAATGTGACCACCTTGTGTTTGTAGACATGTGTCTTGTACAGGCATTTGGGATCAATGATTGGCTGCAGCCCCTTGTTGAGTAGGGTTGCCAGCTTCCAGGTGAGACCCAGGGATCTCCCGCTTATACAACTGATCTCCAGCTGACAGAGATCAGCCTCCCTGGACAAAATGGCTGCTTTGAAGGGTGGACTCTATGGAATTGTACCATGCTGAGGCCTCTCCCCGCCCCAAAACAAACCCTCTCCTGGATCAACCCTCCAAGTCTCCAGGTATTTTCCAACCCAGTTCTGGCAACCCTATATGTTGAGGGTATATCACAGTCTGTAAAGTGAGGTGGATAAAGTATGAAATTGTGCACAGATTACTTTATAGGTAAGTACCTCCTTTCACGGGAGCTGCGGTGGCTCAAGTGGTTAAGACGCTGAACTGCAGGCTGTGGAAGGTTCGAGACCCGAGTGTGCCGCATGATGGAGTGAGCTCCCGTCTCTAGTTCCAGCTCCTGCCAACCTAGCAGTTTGAAAGCAAGAAATTGCAAGTAGATAATAGGTACCACTTCAGTGGGAAGGTAACAGTGTTCCGTGCGCCTTGGTGTTTAGTCATGCTGGCCACATGACCACGGAAACATCTTCGGACAGCGCTGGCTCTTCGGCTTTGAAACGGAGATGAGCACCTCAACCCTAGTCTGATTCCACTGGCTCAAGGGAACCTTTACCTTTACCTCCTTTCACAGGCCATCAAAAATTCCTTGTTTTCATTTATTCCTCTTCACAAAGCAGCAAACACATTTTCCCCGTTGAAGTGAATTCAAACATATTTGGGTATTACTTATATGGGAGCCCACCTTTTCCAAATCTAAATATGCAGTTTTGCGCTTGGCCTTACAACTCCGTGGGGACTGGGGAGGTCTTGCGTCGCTGGCCTTTGGTTTTCTCCCGCCTTGCCTGCTGACCCCTTGGGCGACGTTTGGTTTGGCGGAGGCACCATGAAGTTACTCGCCTTCTTGCCCCAGCCTCGGCAATGGCAAAAGCTCTCCTGCTCCTCTGCCCTCTTCTCCATGGCGCCCCTGGACTTCCTTCGGCTTCCGTTGCCAATCTGCCCACGGGCTAGCGCCTGTGCCCTCCTTCCTCAACTCGCAGATTGCAGAAAGGTAGAAATGGGGAGGGGACTATGGCGGGCGCAGGAGGAGAGGCTTTTTTTTTTTTTTTTTTTTTTTTTCCATTTTTTTTTTTTTTTTTTTTTTTTTGCACGCTCGTTTCTTAAGAGGAGGCGCGCGGGCTGGGACGTTCTTCTGGCACCGAAGGCGGAGGGAGGGGGCAGGAAGGCGGGAGAGCTGGTGGGACAGACTGAGGTGGGTGGAGGGGGCGGGCGTTATACATTCCCTTCGGCAAAAGCCGAGCAGTTGCAAATTTTCCTCAGCCGTGTGGCTAGCCGGGAGCATCCCAGTCTTTCCAGACAGGCAGCAACACCGGGCAGGGAGAAATCAAGACGTTCCTGCCTATCACAAGCCTTCCCCGCGCTGCTGCGGCCGCCTTCGCAGCCGGCCGCCTGCCTCTCCTCAGCCCTCCCCCGTCCCCAGCTCCCAGTGCAACAGGGCGAATAGTGGAAGCCCAAAGGAACCTATTCGGAGGCAGACCCCGAACTAGAGCACCGACCTTCTCCCTTTCTCAGCGGCACAGGCCCTGGGTGAGTACTGGGGTAGTGGCAGAATCCGGGAGCCTTCCCACCTTGTCGGGTGACACTGACTGGACAGATGCACGAGGCTGCAGGGCAGTCCTAGAGGGGGCATAACTGGTTTGCAGCGCGGGCATTCTTGCTTGGGGAGGGACTGTAAGATACAGTGCAGTGCTCCTCTTCTCAATTTCCATTTGCTCCTAGTAAATAATCACATCACCACCAGCAGGCTGTGTGATCTTGCAAAGTTTGCATCTTCTGCACTTGTAGCCTTTTGTGAAACGGAGGAATTGCAATCGAGTGTTGCTGTCAAAGTGGAAAGGAATTTCAGCATCCATATCTTCCTCACTGCTCCCTCTCCTTTTCATTCTTCTTCAGGTTGGAAAGAGTCATGACAGCTGAAAAGACGATACCCATAATTAATGGCAAACAAGAGGATGCTCTGGATCCTGAAGCCTCAAGTACCAACTTGGTCCACAGCAATGACAAGAAAGTGCATGAAAGGGGCCACTGGAATAATAAGGTTGAATTTGTACTTTCTGTGGCTGGAGAAATTATTGGGTTGGGAAATGTGTGGCGGTTCCCATATCTCTGCTACAAGAATGGAGGAGGTAAGATGGCATCTTGTATAGATTCATCATTTAATATGCTAAAACTACGAAGAACCATGTGGTGATTTGCTTGATATCAGAATAACTGTTTTATTGAGGGGGTTTTGTACTGAAACACCTGTGGTCATGATCTACCAACCACTCCATCTTTGGCATATTAATTCAGTCCAGGTTAGATAATATTATCTTCAGGAACACATTGACTTAACTGGTTGTAAAATGCATAAAGTATTGATTCATGTAACCATTCCAAATGTATTTTCTGCTTTTAATAATTAAGGGAGATTGGTTCTATGTCCCAGACATGAGGTTTCGGCTCTTGAAGTTTGTTACTGGTGGATATTGTTGATTTTAGATAAATTCTAGATGAGTAACTATTTAGGGTAATACATTTATTATGGGCAGAAGTTTTTGAAGGCAAGGCCTTACTTCATCAGATACATAAAATGGGCAGTGAAAGAAAATGTGGTGTTTATATACATCTAGCACCTTTACTGAGAATGTCATGCATCTGATGAAGTATGATGTTTATGCTAAGACTCTTGTCACAACAAGTTTGTTATACATGCTTCTTTAAAGTTCCATGAAAGTCTTTATTATTATAGCTTTGGCTGTTTTTCTCACTGCAATCATATTGATATCTGTGACATTCCTTCTGGTTATGATACAGAGATGTGTGGAATGTTCAGTACTTGAACTCACACCTAAGTTAGTTGTTATTTAATATTTATGGACCAGGTAGACTTCACTGTCATTGCTATGAAATGTTATAATCAGCAACTTTAAAGGGCTTTAAATATATATATATATTCATTCAGCACAGAGAGCCATGATAGCCACAGATTTACCACTGGCAACAGTTCAACACACAATTAAGTACTGGTTTCAGTGGATTTAATTAAACAGTCCTGTGTGGGATAGTGACCATTACACTTACTGAAAGGAAACCTCTGTATACAAAAATGCTTGGAACACTCTCTATCAGTTGGATGATACTATCTTGCTTTGCTTATTGGTGACAGAAGTCAGGATTCTAAGAGCTACTTTAAGCATTCTGAAGGATGTGATAGGACCTGTTGGATTTTTTCTGTGTCTGTCTTGGAAAATCAAATCCCCATACCACAGGAAAAATTGCTTTTGAAACTCTGTTTTATAGCACTGGGTGTTTTATAGCATTGGGTGGGAGTGGTGGTAGAAAGGATGGCTTCTGAGAAGCATGTGGCAAAACCTCTAGAGTGTATGGCACTAGTTGTATGATTCTTTGGATTTGGGCCAGAATGCTATGCTTCATGGGCCACTCTACACACACAGTGAAGGCAGCTCTTACGTTCTTAGAAAGTGAATGTAAAGATGAAGGAGGAAGACAGAGCTGGTTGTTGTAAACAAACTGGGGGCATATGGTTGCCAACTCAAACTACACATAAATTATCTTTCTACATAAAGTAAAGTAACTTTAAAACACATAAAATAATGTAATTTAAAATATGAAATGTCAGAATATTCTGGGGTGTTATAGCTAGCTAGCAAAGGGGATGGGGGTTACTTGGGGTATTGTCCGTTACAAAGTATTTAAACCATCTTGAGCTACAAAGGAAAGATGGGTATAGATATTTTAATAAATGTGAAGTTTGATAGAATAAATATGTCCTGCATAGTATAGCCACTATGAAAAATGAAAAAAATGAAAAGCTTCCAAAACCTGTGTATGTACTTGCAGTGCTGTTCATTTTCAGCTTGTAATCCTATACTGGCAAGTGAGAACAGCTTTGGGGACCTGGCCTAAGGCATTTATAAAATATATACTCAATCCAGACCAGTAAAAATTTAAAGTTTCAAATATTCCTCAAATGGATGAGAGTTGTAGCACGAGGAAATGGTGTGTTAGCGTGTATGTAAAGAAACTCAGAAAGAGCTATTCTTTACTTTGTTTTCTCTGCCAAGAGTGCTGGGCCAAAATAATATTTCTTGTCTCTGAGTTAACAAACACCAAAGTGAATTTCGCCTGTTTGGTGTGCTAGATTTCTAAAAAGCACAGTGTGTAGGTGTGTTTGCTTTTCTCTATTGCCTTATGTTGCTACACAGTGGCAAGAAAGCAAGATGAAAAGAACTCTTCTCCTCTTACAGTGATGCTTGTTGTTTATTGCTAGTCCTGGCTCAAGTGGTTAAGACGCTGAACTGCAGGCTGTGGAAGGTCAGTAGTTCAGCAGTTCGAGACCCAGGTGCCGCATGATGGAGTGAGCTCCCGTCTCTAGTTCCAGCTCCTGCCAACCTAGCAGTTCGAAAGCAAGAAATTGCAAGTAGATAAATAGGTACCACTTCGGTGGGAAGGTAACAGCGTTCCGTGTGCCTTGGTGTTTAGTCATGCTGGCCACATGACCACGGAAACATCTTCGGACAGCGCTGGCTCTTCGGCTTTGAAACGGAGATGAGCACCACAACCCTAGAGTCAGATTTGACTGGCTTTCGAGCAAGGGAACCTTTACCTTTACCTTTACTACTCATGTTGTTTTTATTATGGGAAGGTAAAGAAGTAGAGGTATATTATCTGAATGGTAGGTGACCAGCCAATTCCTGCCCACTCACTGGAACGCTAAGTTTGTCAGGACAAAAAGTAAATAAAGAATAACATGATAAACACATAGCAACACTTATTTATTTGGCTATGTATCCTTTTCATTGATTAATGCAGTATATTCCCTTTAACTCAAAATTTCATTACAGCAACCTCAGTTTCACTGAGGAAGTATTAAAGTAATGCTCATTTTGGCATTCTATAAGCATGCACTTAATTAAAGGAAAACCACCTCTAGTATCTCCCACCATTTCACTTAGTTAAATGTGGAACCTCCAGTGGAAGAGCCTTTCCACAGAAAGAAGGCTCCATATACAGCTGAGTGAAATAGTAGGATACAACCCTCCATATCTTCATCAGTATCCATATCTTCTTTGTTGCTTCCTTTGTTTTTTCTTATAAAGAAGTCTTGTCATTTTTTCTTTATTTTTTCACTTTGTATTTTATAATATTACATAAATGTGTGTGAACTCTTCTTCATCCATTCTCTTACTAATCACCCCCAGGTGTAAAATTTTACATTACATTTGACAAGCCTTTATTGGCATACGTATACACATACAATAGGGGATCAGATTAAATATAGATCAGAAAATACAAATCCATACGGGGTAAAATTGGCGCTACGGTGCAGAAAAACAGCATGAAAGCAGAAAAACCTAATGGTTACTTATCAGAACGTATAGCCATAGCATTAAGAAGAAACCTTGCTACTATTTCGGTTATTTCCGCATCTTGATTATCAAGCAAAAACAGAACATTAAAATCGTCAGGAATCTCTGAGAATTGAGCTAATATGGGATATAGAAGATCCTGGCAGGGCACCAGATAAAAGGGACATCAAAGGAGAACATGAGGGACAGTTTCAACACAGTCCTTACAAGGACAACACCTGCTGGAGTAGGGGATCCCCTGGAATCTGCCAGAGAGAAGAGCAGAAGGAAGGACATTAAATCTGGCCAAGGAGATGGCTCTGAGTAAATTTGGAGCGATGTTGATAAAGATATACAGCTGGAAGATTTGCATTTGGAACAATCCCTAAATTTAGGGGAGAACAAGTTCTGTTGGCCAAGCTATAGAGAGTTTGCAACTCTGAGCCCAATAAACTAGTTTTTATTTTTAAAAAAGCCTCAAAAAGGAAGGATAGAGATTCTAAGGGTAAATTCAAGGACCATATTTTGGCTTCGATGTGAGATAGCCAGCTAGAATTGGCAGATTCAGAAAGTAATTGATACAGATAACTAGAGGGGTCAGAGTTGAGGTGGAGTCGCAGCCTTAATTTAATGGTGTGGATCCATGCCTTAGTAGCCATCAAATTATGTCCACACTCCAAACATAAAGCAGCATATGGAACACACATGGGTACCCCCATGATCTTTCGCAAGGTGTGAAATTTTATGTTCAATAAAAACTGAATATTTACTTGTACAATCATATTTATGACATATAGTGCCCAATAAAGACAATCTATTGCAAGGTTATTTAGAGAAACAATGTATATCCTCAGAGTTTAGTAATGTCATAGTGTGTTCTTTGGTATATTGTATAAACAGGACAGAGTGTAAATGAATATTTAATTGTTAGATCTAAAGTGGTCCCACTTCAGCATTTAATTAGTAGGTAACCATAAAGAAAATTTAGGTTTAAAATGGTCTGGATTATGTAATTATTCTCCAGACCTATTAATGTGTTATAATTTATATTCTCCATGCTGAGTCGTGTTTTACTCTGCAGGTAGAACTATTGATTGTTAGCAGAATTCTCTTAGAAACTGACGGACACATATTAAACATGCTGCTGAAAACATCTTCCATGTGGCAATGGATTTCTGCCATTTAACAAATGCAGCATGGCCGCTGCGTAAGTCTTCATGGTTCTATTTCACGTATGTGGTGGGAGTGTGGAGACTTGCAGCTTGATGGCTGAACTCCAATACAATACATTTTGTGGACCAGGCAGAAATCAGTCACCACAGGGAGTTTATTATTGGTGGCATCCCTATATGTGGCCACCTCCATCCCTAAGTTAATATCACAATTGGAATTTAAGTTTAAAGTCGAATTTAAGTTGAAAGACAGTTTTATACAAATGCCAGTTTTTCACACAGGAAATGTTTGTTTGCTTCTTAAAGTGGTGCTATAGTATTGTAGTATGAACAACAGTAACTAGTTCTGTAATATTCTGTGGTTACTGTTGCTCTATCTTTGCTCTGGATGCTGAACCATTCTGTTGCTGTCAAGTGAATTACTGTATATTACTGAAATTGTCCGTGTGTATTCTCTACATATATTCTTTGTCAGCATATTTTGATTTTTAAAATGGTTCTTCAATTACATGCACCTAATTTTTTTCATTGAGGAGAATATTCTCTCATAAGATCATTACATAAAAAACCCTTCAACCAGATCCTTTACACATCATAGTAGAACAAAGTTAACAATAGAAATACTTGTGTATCATTTTTCAGTAAACGGGAAAATATCTCAAACTTATCAACATGTAAAGGAAAGTTTAAGAGTAAAAAAATCTTGAAAACTACACATATTTGATAGATTTACAGTGTAATCTAGAACAGTGTTATACCATCTAAACCCAATAATTTCATTAGATTTGGGAGGTTAGGACTAGACTGTTAAAGTACATCAATGACAGTTGGTATTATGAAATTTGCAAACATGAACAAAAAGGAGGGAAGCAAAACCACTAACTAACATAAGGTGAAAATCTGCACCTTAAGGGAATGCCTGTGTCACCAGCAATGAATTCTTAGCACAGATAACCTACCAGCCATGAACGGGAGCCTTAGCACTTGCTGAAGACTCTAACTTTTACCATACATAAAAATACCTGGCTGGCACAAAAATGTACACCCCATATGAAAAAATACAGATGACTAAATCATGTGGTCAGAGCTGCAGTGGCTCAAGTGGTTAAGACGCTGAACTGCAGGCCTTGGAAGGTTGGTAGTTCAGCAGTTCGAGACCCAAGTGTGCCGCATGACGGAGTGAGCTCCCCTCTCTAGTTCCAGCTCCTGAATTTGTGCCCCATTAAGGCCTACAGACTAAAGCCTGCAACCAAATATGGTTCTAATGAAGTATAGAATAGATTGCACCACTTCAAACTAAGTGACAGGGTTTTCAAAGCTCCCAGTATTTAGTAATTCTTTATAAATGAAAGGATAGTACATAATTCATGGAGTTAAACTAGAATCTTGATCTTTGAAGTTCTAATTTTTTGTTTGCAGGGAGTTTTTAGATGGGGAGACATTAAAAATCTGAGTTTAACACCTGTAGTTTAAAATTGCACAGTCCATTCTTTCTCATCATTCTGCTGCAGGTTTAGACCAGGCCTGCAAGGAGTTGTAATATTAAAGGGCAGATATTCCTTTGCCAGCAGTGATGCTCCTCATAAGTAAATGTGGTCTCTGTAAGGTGATGAAGTAGTGCTATATGCTGTAGTCCTATATATTGAATGCATAAATGCTTGACCTGAAAAGCTAGCTGTCTGGATTTCCCTAAATGGAGTCTTATTTATGATCTAAACGTAGTTCAGTATCAATAAAATATAGTAACTTTTCCATGTTGATGAATTTGTGCCCCATTAAGGCCTACAGACGAAGGCCTGCTACCAAATGTGGTTCTAATGAAGTGTAGAATAGATTGCACCACTTCAAACTGAGTGACAGGGTTTTCAAAGCTCCCAAAATTTAGTAATTCTTTATAAATGAAAGGATAGCACATAATTCATGGGGTTAAACTAGAATCTTGATCTCTGAAGTTCTAATTTTTTGTTTGCAGGGAGTTTTTAGATGGGGAGACATTAAAAATCTGAGTTTAACACCTGTAGTTTAAAATTGCACAGTCCATTCTTTCTCATCATTCTGCTGCAGGTTTAGACCAGGCCTGCAAGGAGTTGTAATATTAAAGGGCAGATATTCCTTTGCCAGCAGTGATGCTCCTCATAAGTAAATGTGGTCTCTGTAAGGTGATGAAGTAGTGCTATATGCTGTAGTCCTATATATTGAATGCATAAATGCTTGATTTCATTGAACCTGCTGTGGCTAATCTGTATGCAATGTTTGCTTTTAGGTGCTTTTCTCATACCTTATGTGATTTTCTTTATTTGTTGTGGAATACCAGTCTTTTTCCTGGAGACTGCCTTGGGACAGTTTACTAGTGAAGGTGGAATTACGTGCTGGAGAAAAGTTTGTCCACTGTTTGAAGGTATACATTAATTTTCTTTTCTATCTTTGTATATGCCTTTTTTAAAATGTTGAAAAATGGCACATTTATAACAATTTTGTTAGCAGAATGACATTTTATTGTCTCTAACAGCTAGCTCCATCTTGTCCGTTTTTGGAAGCTAAACAGGGTTGGCCTTAGTGTTTGGATGGGAAACTACCAAGGAAGTCCAGGGTCGCAATGCAGAGGCAGGCAATGGCGAACCACCTCTGAACATATCTTGCTAGGGTTACCAGACCCTCCAGTCTGGGTGGGGTTTCTCCTGATTTTCGGGGCTTGAGGCTGCCACCAGCCATCTGTAACTTGACGGCAAAAACAAAAAAAATCATCAAACCCCCAAACCAGCAACTGCTATTTGTTACTTTGTTTCTACCCTGCATTTCTTCCCAAAGCAGTGTACATCATTTTCCTTTCCCCCATTTTATCATCTCAGTAACCCTGTGAGGTAGATTATGCTGAAAGTGTATGACTAGGCCAAGGCCACCCGTGGGACAGCAAGGATTTGAACCTGGACCTCCCAGATCTTAGTTCAACACTCTAATTACTACATTGCATTAGACATCATCACATGTTATGAAATGCCCATGCAGAGGCTAGGGTTCCCAAATCCCCCCGGGGGCGGAATTCCCGCCAGTTTCGAGCCCCGATTCCCGCTCCTGCAGAATCGGGGCCCGGGGGAAAACCCACCCCCGTGTGTGCGTCACCCGGAAGTGACGTCGCACGCTGGGGGTGGGGTGACGCCATTTGAGGGGGAAACAAAGAGTTTCCCCCTCAAATGGAATGGCCCCGCCCCAGCTTGTGACGTCACTTCTGGTGACGCTCCGGAAGCGCGTGCGCACACACATCCCTGGCCGGCTCCCGGAGCTGCAGGATGCTCCCCCGCCGGTAAGCTTTTTCAATTTGGCAACCCTAGCAGAGGCATACCTTTCATATTTATTTAGTTATAGCATTAGTGTAGCAAATTACATCCTTCTAAGTCCACTGAAGCCAATGAACTATGAATGATGTAACTCTGATTAATATTCCACTGCTAGAGCCTTGATGTTCCCAGTTCAAATACACCTGAGTTACAAATGCAATTAATAGCCTTAGGCAGGCCACACTGGTTCATCCCCTTCTATCTGTAATAAGGTGCAATGATATTTGGCATACCTTTTATTTCAGGATTCCTGAGATGCTGTTACTGGTGAAGGTGGAGAAGCCAGGAAAAATAACTGACATTTAGTATTATTTTTGTTATTCTTTAGCACACATCTGACTCCATAATGAATCTCTTTCCCCATTCTTTAGTGTGCCTACCCCAGCGTTGTGAACTCCAGCTTGGAAAATTCCTGAATGTTTGGAGGCAGTGCCTGGGGAGGGAGCTTAGGGGGGTTGTGATTGCTTTAGAGTCTGCCCCCCAAAGCTGTCATTTTTTGCAGGGAATCTGATCTTTGTAGTCAAGAGATAAGTTATATTTACTGGAGAAATCCAGGTGCTTCCTGGGGGTTGCTAAAACTAGCCTAGCCTTCAACCAACTCAACTGCTTAGTCCATTTTGTTGCTCTGTTAACCCTTGACTTCTTTCATCCTAAAGCCCAGTTTACCTCATTAATTCAGAATCCCAGATAATAATTTTTTTCTTTGCGCTTTGGATATATGTCACAATTATATATTTATTTATTTTTAAATTGAGAAGGTCTAGAAATCTGTCT